AAATTAAGGGAAGAGAAGATAATCACAGAGCATGTTTATAAGGGGTAGAGGCACAAACCCTGTATCTAAATGGTCCTTTTTAGGATTTAGGAAGCAATAAGGACCTTACTGTTTTTACTTTTGATCAGGTGTAATTACTGCTCTGAGACGGCCCCTCAGTGGGAATGTCTCTGAAATATAAAGTTCTTTGGCTATTGAACATCATGGCTTCTCTACTGCTTCTGGAGCTCTAGGGCAGATGCGCATCCCGATGAACCCCGGAGTTTAAAATCTGAATGTATTAAGTGGCTAACGCAAGCAAGCATTTATTTCACCAGAGCATTTGACCTCTGCCTCCTCTCTCTCCCTTTAACATGCACCTGCTCTGTCCAAAGAGCTGAGCCAAGAGCTCAGAAGCGGGAAGATACATCTGAGCCACGCTCACTGTGAGTAGCTTGCGATCTGGTATCGGGGAGTCACGGCACTTTTAGAAACAGTTCCTGAGTCCCCAGATCTCTATTTGTAAGTCACTAAATAACCTACCAAGAGGTTAAAGACAGGGAGGGGGACACCACTTTGCAGACAACAGGCTTTGGGAGTCCCCTTCCCGCACATGCTCTTCCTTTCTCTTTACTTGTTCAAACTCCTGCCGATCCCACCAACCTGACTCTTCCAAGTCTCCTTCTCAGACCAGCCCCTCTGATTGATGCACAGGAATTGAGCTTTCCTTTGAGCCATACTATTTCCTATGGAGACAGGCTAAAGATCACCTTTCATCATTTTTTGTTAGCATCCAGCACAAGTGTTAGCTTTCAGGTTATTGTTTCATTGTTTTAGATTATTCTTTAGATTATTCATCTTTTCCAATTATGTTTTTTTCCTCTTAATTACAACCAAAGCACCTTGAAAGCTGGGGAATAAGAGGGAAAGGTGGCATCATACTATTGTGGAAAAACACGGGTGTTGGGTGTGGACGGACCTACATTTGTATCATGGCTCTGTCCCTTTCCAGTTATGCCATCTTTGGGGGGCTACGCTATCTCCCTGAGCCACAGTTTCCTCATTGTCACGTGAGAATAGTATCTACACCAGGTAGGCTGCTATGAAGGTTAAAATAATTTATGTAAAGTGCCAGGAGATGGTCAATAAACAGGAGCGGTGCTGCTATCAAGATGGTCAGTTTTTACTGTTTGGAGCCTCCATAGAACCTTTCATGTGGTAGAGGCAGGGCTGACAAAACCCTTCGACTGACATAAGTGAACTGAAGTTCAGAAGCTGAAGTTGAAATATATACACTATATTTGAAAAATATGTACCCCCAACTAACAACAAAAACATAGGCAGAGTGAATATAGAAAAATGTCACTAAGTAATAAATACAGATGATGGGTATTTGGGTGTTATTCTTTCTACTCTTCTGTTTCTAAAAAATATTTTTTTGTGAGAAAAGGTCAAATAGTAAAACCAACAAATATATGTGTATGTATGTGTGCATATATACAGATATATACACACACACAGACACACTTTGGGGAGAAGGAGGCTGATGCATTATTAGCTTTTATTAAGCTTAGAAAATACCCAAAAGCTTGATATTCATTTTTATGCTTAAACTATTTTTAAACTATTTTTTTTTTTTTAAACTATTTTATGTTTAAACTATTTAGTAATTACAAAAGCAATTAAAAACCATCATCTATCACATTCATAAGTGAATAACAATGACACAAATATATATGAAAAATATTGAATAAACATAAAAGAATCTTATTAAAGAAATAAAATGAAACAAATACACCCTCAGGTGTGTCTTGTGTAAAATTTGATGCCACGGGGCAAAGCACACCACTTAATACAGGAGCATCGTCCGGGTGTTTTCCCGGATTAGCCACCAGGGGATGCTAAAGAGTAGTGTTCCCAGGAACCCGGCAGCGAAAAGATTAAAATCATTCAACTTGCCCCTGAGAAGTGGGAATCCAAGAGTCAGGCTCATTATTCAGGGGGTCTGGGAGCATGGATTTCAGCAGATCTGTTTGGCCTGTGGTAAGGACCACGCCTTGCCCCAGGGACAGAGCTGCCTGGAACCAGCTCAAGTGTGAAGCTGGTGTTGGCACCTTAGAAACCCCAGGCTGTGCCACAGCTGACAACTTCAATAGCTGCTCTGCTAGGGGCTGTAAAGCATGGGGCAGAAATGGAAGATTCTTATGTAGGCTTCGAATTCCTTTTTTCTAGTGACTTCCCATACCCTGAGACTTCCTTCCAATACATGCTTAAATGGCATCAGTACATTCTGGAAAATTTATATAGCAGCAACTAAACAGCTAGACTAGAAAATTATTTCTATTCTAAAAGTACACCCCAGGCCAAACCTTTTATGTACATAGACAATTAAATAAGAGTGGTTTATACTGTATTTTAACTTTATGTATCTCTATATGTCATTCATCCCATTGGAAAATAAAATATTTTAGGGTAGGACTTGTCAGATTTCCTTGTAGTCAAAAAGAATGTTTTATTGTATATTTGTTGGAAGTGCCTTTGCTCGATGAATTCACTATATTCTCCCAATAACCTTGTGAAGAGTTGTTAATCTTATTTGAAATAGAAGAAACTGAGGCTTAAAGATGACTAGTCAGAGGAGACTCAGTTGGTGGAAGGCTAAGCAAAGGCAAGAATATTATCCCTTTTGGGGATGAGGGTGAATCTCAAAGAGAGGCAGTAATTCGTGCTCAGGATTTCATAGCTAGATAGAGACGGGTTGACTCCTTGCTGGCACTGTGCCCTCTCTCTTCTACCCCATGCTTCGTACATGAACATGCTACCGTGTAGAAGAGATACATGTGCAAAGTTTCAGCAGGCTGTTCTAAGCAGAGGAACGAAAAGATACTGCCTTCTCAGGCTTGCTTTTGAACTGTTCTTTATAGCCAGCATGCTCAACTATACCCATTTCTCACACATAATAATAATGGAAGAGCTTCCCCCAACAGTGACCCTGAACCTCTCAGGATCTGTAGACCTGGTGACAGAGGGCTCTGTCCCTGGAGGTTTCCAGGTTGCTTTGCCTCTGTATTCTTAGGTGTTCCACCCTAGGCCATACCTCCTGGTCTGATTTGGTATCACTGCCAAACTCCCAGATCAATCACCTTAAACCACAGGGAACATAGGACAGCCTGTGTGAAAGTCACTTATGTTCAATGATAGGTTTTTATTTTTTAAGCATGTCCATCTTTTCTTCTGGGCTTTATCTGGAGAGAGAATTGAGATCAAAAAGACAGAGAAGAGAAAACACTGTGTGGGAGGTGACATGCCATGGTCGCTTGGGAGGCCTGTCTGGAGCTGCTGGTTGTGATTTACTGAAAAGAAAATGAAATTCATGTCCCCCATCCATCTTGCTGAAATGTCATAGAAAGTGCAGCTCGCTAGCAGTAGGGAGGTCTGGCGCAGATGCCGACAAATCACCTGCTAGATCTGTTTGGTTTCTGATTTAAGAGCCATGTGTGGGCTGCAGAGAAATAAAAGTCTTGGTTCATGAACTAACAAGGAATTTTCCTGGGGTAAGACATGTCTGACTATGGGAACCGACCGTTAATTACGGCTCAGAAATGCTTTTCTCTACTGTGTGACCATCCAGGAAGCCCAAAAGTTCCAAGTTCCAATGCGAGGGCCCAGTGCACATTACCGATTTGTTGTGTCAATGTCTGCTAATATATCTATCCACGTGACACCTTTATCAAGGATTTGTATGACTCTGTTTATGATACATGGAAAAAGTAATCGCAGAGTGGGCATACTGACAATGTCGATGTTATCGCTGAATTTCAGCCAACAACCCTGGCCTCCTATTACACTTGACAGTCGGTAGAAAACATACATCCAGCTAAGAACAAAAAGCATGTGACTCTTTCTCTAAGAAGAAAAATGCTCAGTGTTTGCCAATGGTAAGTCACACCTCTTTGGCACCTCAAAAATGTGTTTGTGATTTTAATTCTTACAGAGATCCGTATGCAGCCACCACTTGAGTTTGGTCAAGGTTGACACCAACAGTACTGGCCAGAAAGGAAGATATAAAATTCAAACTGGCCATTTATTGCTGGTGTTAACATTTTAGTTATGAAAGAGGCTGAATCTCTGGGTAACACTGAAATCTTTTCATCACCTTTTTCATTACAACACCACATTGGTAATTGGCTCTGTCTGCTAAAAGATTTAAGCAAAAAAGAAAATGACCATAATAAAAGGGCAGCTCGGGCTTCTATACTGGGGAGGAGGAGTGCAGGAAATTGTAAAAGGCCAAAGAGTCCTCCACGCTTCAAAGTTCAGGTGATAAATAAAACCAGTGACGTGGTGCTACTTACCACCCTTCTGATTTTTCTGATAACAGGCTCAGGGTCTGGAGGGCCACCCAGGAAGCTCTGAATACGTACTGCTGAAAATAAACCAGCCCTTTCTCTGCATTTTCAGAAAAACTGAGTGACCAGAGAGGACACCCCCATCCCCACCCCACGCTGCTCCAAGAACATCCTGAGCGTGGCCCTGTGGAGATGCCCAGGCCTGGCACATTCCACTTCCCAGCACCAGCCTAAGAACAACAGCTCCGCGGCCCGGCCTGCCTTTGACTTGCAATGCACAGGAATTTCAGAATCCCCATGTCTCATCTCTAGAAGCGCGGAACAATCACACGCTCCATTCCCCTCAAGGATCTCACCTTCAAAATGTTCTTCATACCTTTTTCTTTCTTTTCTACATAACTTTCCCTTTGGAATCAAGATTACTAAATCATTCTCCCCAGACTAATTTCTTTCACACATAAGTATAAACTGGGCTCCCCAAACACACAACGATGCTGCCAGGGATTTTGTGTGATTTTCGGAGAGTCACACTCCATCTCTAACCCAGCCCCAGACTAAAACACATACACATACACGCACACACATGCACACACACGCACACACACACACAATTAAGTCAACTGCCATTCTCCAAACAGAAAGCCCTTCGACATTCACCCTGCGTGGCCTCACCTGTCCAGAGAAATGCTGAGTGGACACCGCGAGGGCCTGGAAGCCGCGGACGGCCCTGCTCAGCTCCGCCTGCACCAGGCCCAGCTGCCGGGCCTGCTGCTCACACTTCTCCTTCAGCCGCTGAACCAGCTGCCTCTCGGCTTCGCGGGCCTGCAGGTCTGGCTTGGGGGGAAACCCATTTCGGGGGGCCGCAACCCTCTGCTTGGGGTGTCCTAGGAAGAGAAAAGTTACTTGAGAATGAACACTCAGCCCAGAAGTGACGACAGCTCCTGATTATATAAGGATTTCATCAAGGGCAAGTGGCTGAGGAGAGATTACCCGTGGTTTGTCATTTTAGGTATTAAACATAAAAAACAGACAGAGACTTCAAATGTTTGCTCTGTTTATATCCTACTCAGTTTTGTGTTTGGAAAAAGAGTAATAAAGTTGCCAAATTCCTCCTAACTTTCTACAATTCTAAGCAGTTCGTTTGTTCTTGCTTTTTTTTTCTTTAAGGAGATTACTCTTTGAAATGTCTAATGGGAAATCAATCCATCAATCCAGGTCGAAGGCAGTTATAACTTAGCAACCTCTTAATTGGGCTTCGCGGAGTTGTGCCTACACACCCCTCCCTCCACTAGGGACGCTCTGATGTCAGGTCAAGTCACACATCCAATGACCTCTGCTCCAGGGGTTTCTGTTTCTGGCTTCACATTCCCGGCACCAATGTCCTCCAAATATTCCCATGTGACCACTCAGACTACCTCCAGCTCAGGGTCCAGGCACCAAAACCTTTCACTTTCCAACAAGAAGCCCTGCTTCCTCTCATCGTTCACTGAAGAGCAACCAGAATAATCCTTCCGATTCTAAGACAGCTCTTGACCTGTGTGGACCCCTCTTTCCAGTTATGCTCCTCTGCAGAAAGAAGAGACTGCCCATTCCTGACCATGGCCGAGAGCTTCTGCAACCTGGCTCCTGCCAGGCAGACAAGACGTTAGGTATGGGACGGCCACAGAGGAAGGAGCCAGAAACTTCGCCTGGGTTGGGGCCAGAGTAGGAGAGGCTTTATGGAGAGCTGACCATTAGGCTGAAGCTTGAGACATAAAGACAAGGCCCCGGGAAAGGGCACGGAGATAAGCGTCACATCGTGCTGAAGGGCCTGTGGGTAAGCGAGGCCCTTACCCAGAACTGCTGTCCTTCCCGTGGGAGGCTCCGACAGGCCTGACACCCACAGAATGCCTCTGCAGACAGTGGACTTACATTCCGAAGGCACATTCTTTCCTTTGCTCAGGCAGATCACATCCTAGAGGACATGGCGTGAATGCTGACAGCACGATCACAAATAAACTTCAATATTCCAGAAGTCCTTTTGTCTCCTGGCCACCATGGCTCCCCTCCCACCACCCCAAAATATCAGGGAGGAACATAAACGAGAAAATGACAGCCTCTGCAGTGAACACAAAAGTGGCCTTATCGTTTAAGGGGAAAAGATGGTTAATTGATCTAAATACTTTTGATTGTTAATTTAATGGTAACCATGCTGATTTTAGTTAAATCGTCCTCCTCTTAAGAAATCAACAGAATCTCAATGCAACCTCACGCACAATACATCTTAAAGTATTACGGCTTAATACAATAGTACAACATGAAATTTTTTTGTTGCTTTTTTACAACTGTCCTTATGATAATAGAATACAGAAAATTTGCTTGCATATTATGGGTGAATCACTCTTAGTGCTTTCTTAATCCCAACATTCTCAGTATTGAAAACAAAAGAAATGTGAGAGATTTTACCGCCTTCATTAAACTCTAAGAAACAGCCTCAGACATAAGGTAGTTTTTTCATGATTACTGTTTACCATTTTATTGTTGTCACTAGTAATTTTATGAAAAACTCCAGGGTTTTAATTAGTGTGTGGAGGGACCAGGTGCTTGACACCTGTTACAAGAGAAGACACTTCCTTTAGAAACTAAAGGAAATAATGAAACACATTTCCTGCTCAGGGAATTAGAGCTAATTGCAATCCATGGCACGTCGAGTCACCTCTGAGCTTGGGAACATTAGTGAGCGCTCACGTTGTTGTGTGTTTGGGACTATCAGCTTTGCCCCTATTATTAATACTGTTATTATTATTACTATTATCACTGTCATCATTATCAGGTTAGCAATGACATTCAATGGTAAATGGACAATAAAAGGATTTGGTGAAATGCTATTCTTGGTGCTTGCTTTGATGTTGGTGTTACTGTTCTATTACTTTTATCCACACACTCAAAATTCCAGCGTTCTGTCAAAATGCCAGTCCACCCAGTCCACATTTCTATTCCCAGGGATACTAAACTGACATTCTGGGCCTAGACAGAAGCTCTCCTGGGAATACCAGCTTGGTACCAACACACCAAGTGTAGGCTGAGTTGCCTTGTGGCTCTGAACCACCTTATGAAACCACTTCTTGTTTGGACTGCTGGTTGGCTGCACCTGTGGCCCTGGGCCACTGTCACAGGGTAGACTAAGGCTCAGGCCCCAGTGCTGGGCTGGAGGAAGGCTGGCTGTGTTCTCCATTGCTTTTCGTTGGAGAGGTCCTGCCATTTTCTAAAATACATCAAATATAACTTTGCCTGCGACTCATCATCACTGTACTGCTAGCAGCATGTTTTTGATTCTCACTAAAAACAGTATTCTCTCTTGTGCTGTCAGTTTTTGCTCTGTACTTCCATAGCTGACTCCCTGCAGTATTGTTCTGTCACCTTCGTATCTACCCACATGTCAGACCATCCCAGGACGGCACCTAAGGGCGGCCGCACAGGCTCAGCTACCATCTTGGGGATGGAGGGTTCATGCTGAATGAAGGTAACTGACATACAGCCAGCTTTGGCTGTTTCATTAAAAGTCAAGGAGGATTTTGTTAGCTTTTGTTGTCTTCTCTTAAAACCCAGCACGTAAGAGAGCTAAAACACTAACCTGCTTAGGAAGTAAGGGGTTCGTAGGGTCCTGCAATGGAAACTTCTGGAGGCAAAGATACGTGGAGTCAGAGCACACAGTCCACAGTGGGATGAGATGCAGTGATGGCGATTCACTTCTGACCTCTTACACCCATATTTCTCTGGTAGAGCTACCAGGCCTAGATTTCTGGTTTTCTGACTCGCCGCCTGGGACTCTTACCACTGAAGCATCCTGCTGATTCCTGCTACATCTCTGGCAGATCTCACAGGCTTGGGGCATGCATTCAATTCTAGAACATCCTCCCAGTATCTCCATTTCTTTTTAGCCATCCTACTGGCTACAGGACTCTGATGAGATAGAATCTATGATGATCCCAGTAACAACTGGCAACTCAGAGCGGAAAGCCAGTAACCTTAAGTTCTCACAAAGGTGAGTACAGGCGGTTTGCGTGCAAAGGCTAAGCACTGGGGAGAACACAGCTTCTGAAAATAGGAAGCAAATATTAAAAATTCATCTGCAGCCATCTGGTCACTATCAAGAGATTTCTAATGGATTGGAGAGGTTGGCTTAAAAATTTTAAAGCTGGATGATTAATTGACATGGTAACAAGCAGTGCATCATTGAAAACTGTTTACAGCATCAGAGAAAGCCCGTGACCTTAACACTTGTAAACAAGGAAGGAAAGAATTATAGGACACAACTTTGATAGCCTTGCTGCTTAAGGAAATGCCCTTCGTGAGTTTGGTTAACATCCTAAGAGAAAGGATATCTGGGCTTTTCCCACTGGGAACACAAGTACTGAGTTCTTTGCAGTCTTGGGCAATATTTTTCCTAAACTGATCTAAATTTATTTCAGAAAATTTTGCCCAGGAGCACATTATATTTACACTTAGTGCTTGCATTTGTTTGCCTGAGGTTGGCTAGTGGTGGGGACAAGTGAGGAGCAAATGACACTGGGGATAGAGCATTTTTTTCCAGCCAGTCCTGGACATGGGTAAAGGCAGGAATTACTAAGTTGGGCAGCCCCAGCCACATAAGGGACCCCACTCCCTGGAAAGGAGTGGTTTACATTTCCCACTCCATGGAAGGAGCAGATTCTTTTCCATTTTGATGTACAGAAGAACAGAAAACACATGAAGTTATCATCAGAGTTTCCAAAGCCACCTATGAAAAATTGATGACTATAATCCACTTGCTAGACAAAATATAAGTGGACATAAAAGATTTCATCTTCAGGAAGTTTCTTATTCTTTTCAAGAAGTACAGGTGCTATTTATCAAGGTAAATCTAACCTTCTTCATCTAAAGATGAAAAAATTGTGGTTTAACAATGTTCTAGCAATTGCTAAATTCTTATATAAAAAACCAGCTACTTCTGGCCAAGATGGAGAAAGAAGTGTCAGACTTACCCTCTCATCTGAAACCACTCCCTCCAAATTGGCCAAACATGTAAGACAATGGTTTTTAAGACATTAACATTAGGCAATGAAATGCAGTGATACCTGAGAGTCTGGAAATAATTGAGGGGATTCCTACAATCGCCTGAGCCTACTGCTTGGAGTGACTTTCCAGCGAGTCCGAGAACCCAGTGGAGTCTTGGTAGATTCCTTGAGTTGAGAAAATGGAGCTGGGGGCTCAGGGGACTCAGGGGTTACCAGGCTCAGTAGCAGAAAGGACAGAGCTCCACAGAGAGTCCGGGGACACACAGAGGGGCCCCTGTAGTTTCCAGCCAAGTTCTGGTTGGTACATGCTTGTAAGGGAAGTTGGTTGTCCAAGGGCAGGAAAAAAACTGCATAAAGGCTTAGAGGGAACAATTCCAAGAGCTGACAGAAGGCCAAAATTTGTTCGGGTTCCTGTATTTTTTTTTTTTTGTAAGCCAGAGTGGGAAACCTCGTAATTCATGGGGCATCGGTACTCAGAAGGGTTTTGCCTCAATAGTATGATAAAACTAGCCCTAGTCTATTGCTGATTGGAACTTGCCTGATAAAGCTGACAAGCAAAGCCCAAAATGATCAAACTCTCCCTAAGTAACATAGTTTTAGCCAAAGAACATAGCTTAAGAATATTTATAGAATTAAAAAATAATTTCAGTACTCAACAAGAAAAAATTCACAATATCTGGCATCTAAAATAATTCTCAGGCATGCAAATTAGCGTAAAACCCATCATAAAAACCCATAATGAGAAACCCATAAAATTTAGTATATTCATATAAAACCCATAATGAGAAAATGCAACCAATTGAAGCCCACCAATAAATGGCACAGGTGATTAACAGTTATTATAACTA